AGGACTTAGGGTTTGGGGCTTAGGCTTAGGGTTCCTGAACCCATAGCAGGGTCAAGGGTTGAGGATTTAGGCATTGGCGCTCAGGTTTGGGCTCAGCATCACCCACTTTAAGGTTTCGAGCCCCAAAAGCTCTCAGCTCTCCCTGCTCGAAAGCTGGAAAGCCCGGCTGCAAACTCCAAAACCTTTCTAAGCCCTAAACCTGAACGTCAAACCCTAAACTCTGCGCTCATAGCATCTGGGGCTTGAGGGTTAGGGAAAAGTTGCCGAGTCTGAACACATAGCGTCCTGCAGTTGATGCAGTGCCCGGCACCGCAGCCGTTCTCCTCACGATAGACCTGCGTGCAGTCTAACTTCGGATTTTGGGTTTAAGGTTTGGAGCTTAGCATCCAGGATTTTGTTTCTGGCTTGAGTGGGGTTTAGGGATTGGGAGTGTTGTTGCATTGCTCATGACAAAGAAGAAAGGCAACTGTGATAGGCATGAGAGCAGCGTCATGGCACTCTGAAAACTAATTCTCATAAACACAGAACGATTACATTCATACACATTGGGAACGTCAAAGTCTCCATATGACCTCCACCACCACCACCAGCACCAGCATCAGCATAGCCGACAGCCCAATCAAAATCGACATCATGATCGGCAGCATCAGCACCAGGACCGCTCAATCGCCAGCAAATTCGATGCCATCAACTGCAAGAGTACAACGAAAATAAACATGTCGGCCATGATCATTGATGCAAAGCCGCACGTCATTCTGCCACTGTAACCGAGTCGCCCCAGAAACGATGGGCATCCGCCATATTGACAACACATACCACAACTGTGCTGCGACATTGGCGGGAATTGTCAGAAGATTACTCTGGTCCTGCAGACAACACCAGGGATGAGCGTGGCAACGATAATCGGCAAGCTCAGAAACCCAAATGATGGCAAAAGGATGTAGCCTAAGAGCGGCAATGCTGCCGTCTAAGCACAGGGTGCTATCACAGGATTCTGGCACGGGTGCTGACATTCCTCGTGACATGACCGAGCCCAACATTGTAACAGCATTAACGCGGACTAGGGGCATGAACAAAGGAGTCTGTTTTTTTTGTGAGCCTTGGTCGAGATGGAAGAGGCCGGAAGAACCACCCAAAACCTTAAACCCTGAAGTCTCAAAATAGAAACCGAAACACCTCCCTTGAACCTTGAATGATGTCCCATAGCGCCTCGCAGATCAGCACAGCGCCCTGGGGCGGCCTGCAAAACAGAGTCGCCCAATGTTGGTTTAAGTCTCAGCACCTCGCCAAACTGTCCGACAGATCTCATGCCGAAAGGGTTGCAACAGCAAAACCGCGGTAGTAGATATGCGAAGCTGGCCAACAACAGCAACACGCTTGTTTTGCTTGCAACATCTTGCCGCGCATAATACTGTCTGAACACTGGCCATGTTGAATGTTGATGCCATCTCGATGGCGTTTGAACCTTTCAGTCGTACTTCGACTCCTCCACCACCACCACCACGAGCAGCAAGAAGAGCAACACAAACAAAAGTACCATATTCGTACTTCTTACCACTCTGCTCCCTCCTCCTCCTCCTACTGCTACTACTGCTGCTGCTGCTACTACTACTACTACTACTACCACTACTACTACTACTGCTGCTGCTGCTGCTGCTGCTGCTGCTGAGTGCGACGACGACCGTAAGGTTCTAGCACTAAACCCACTATTA